GGATTCCTTCCAGTGGATGCTTAGTTTATTTTGTCATTCTGATCGGATTTTCTCTACTGTTCCATTTTAATTTTAAATTGTTTTGCATTATATGGCCGTTTGCAGTTTTATGGGTTTTTCCCATTTGCCTTTCAAACTTATATATTATATATATATATTCAAATATATTTCAAATATATATATATATATATATATATATATATATATAACTAGTACTGCCATTTATTAATAATAATAATACATACAATATCAGTACAATGAAATATAAATCAAAAATTTTAATTTTCGACACGATGTACTTTTCAGAGCTTGTAACCACTGAATAAAATAAAGCATAATTACAGTATTTATAATTTTTATAGGCCTATGAAAATTCATATAATGCACAAGAGAATAACAAAAAAAAATGGCTAAACGAGCATTCATTCTGGCCAGGAATCGGTGCTATAGTCATCACTCCTCGAATATCTGTATCCATTTCATGTAAGGTTAGTACCAAGCAAGACCACTAACTCGGTCCTGTACAAGCCAACTAAATGTAGAAAGGAAGCGCCACGACCCCTAAGCCATATATGTGATGAACCTTGCACTACCATGTACCAGTCAGTCGACTCCGAGACTAGTACCTGACTCCGAACTTGCCTCCCCGCGAGTACTCGCAAACAAACGACGTACACCACGAAAATAAGACCAAGCATGGTCTTGGTGTTAACTTACTTCAAGAGCGTTACATTTTTAAGTACAAAAAAAAATTAAATATTTGAAATAATTGTTATTAATGATTATTAATGAATTGTTATTTTTAACAATTATGTTAAAATTAGATTCTAAAAATTTTCCAATTAGATATTTAATCGTGTGCTCTATCCGACACACAAATAATGCCAGCTACCTACCTGATCATTTTCCATTTGCTTAGCAATTGGGATAGCCTTACAAGCAGGTTCCTGGTCACCATATTAAGTACCACCGTGTGCTCGACGGTACCCCTTGCTACTCGATCCCCTGCCCCCACAACATGCTCTGTATGCGCCACTCTTGAATAAGCATCGTTCTCTAAGAAGTCCCGCACTGAAGCCTCAAAAATTTGTATAAGCGCTGTGGTGTGTTTTCGAGCATTTACCGTATTTTGTCTAGCACCCTGTAAATTGGATAAACCAATACTCCCGATTAAACTTATGATAGAGCGGCACTTATTCCAACATTTACGGAAGTGCATGAATACTATGTAAACAACAATTAAATAATCATGGGCGCAGATCCTGGGGGACAGGGAACACGACTCCATATATTTTTTAGGGAGTTGGGTCTCCTACGTTTCGACCGCAATGTAATTTCATGAGTAAAGATGATGCCAGAAAATTGTTGAAATGAACTGCATACATGACTCAAGTTTCAACGAAAAAGCGCTGTTCAGCCTGAGTACAGTACTGTACATATATTATAGCTAGATACCGGTATCACTAACGTCTGAATTACCTATAATGCACGACTCGAGTGTGCGTGCTTGTGTTATAATTGGAGAAGTATGAGAAAAAGTATAAGATTTTCGGCACACGAAGTTAGGTACTGTAGGTAGATTAAAGTGAACACATCAAAGACAATTAATGAGATTTTTTTTTTCTATGGTACAATACAGATTAAATAGATCTCTATGATAGTCAAAAATCGCTAGCTGTTAAAAGATAATGGTGATGTTATGATGATGATTTACTATATAAGAGTGTTATTTCCGGCCAGCTTGAGGTACCGTTTTCTCAAATTTTGGCATGGTAGGCCTATATCACACATACTTTAGATCTCTATATGATTGCCGAAAATGGCGGATAAAAGATTATGAGAAATAATTGTGATACGATGATGATGAATTTTGACTATATAAAACTGTCATTTGCGGCTACCGGTACTATTTCCTCAAATGTTCACACCAGTCCCAACCATGGTGGGGCTGAGGTGGCTGTGGTCTCACGAAATGTCCCCCACCTTTAAAACAGACCTCGCCCAAAAAACAAAACAAAAAATAATGATAAGACAAATTCACTAAGATAAGTTAAACTAGATTTGAACTCGTCACTGAGGACGAGTTAGGTGATCCGCCGTACTTTGACCCTCACGAAGCACGCACGGTTCTGATTGAAAAATATTATATGCTAAAATATGCTCTATTTAAGAGTA